AAAATAAAATAAAATAAAAGTAGTTCTTTTCTGACCATGTTTAACTGGCAGTGATAGAAATAAATTAGTAGTTTAACCTGTCTGCACCTGCCAATTCCCGCAATTTACATTTGGATAGCACCACACAACTTACAGTATGTATTTATATACATTATTCCATTTGATCCTTGCACCAAATACATGGTTTACTTATTTATAGATGAGACTCTAACTCTTAGTGGGTTTAAAGGACAAGTCAGGGACAGGGTCGTATTCTTCAAACTCTAAAGCCTTCCTCCTTCCCAAACCCCACAATGCTCACCCTCATAGAGCATCATTCCCAGTGGATACTTACATTTCATCACACCTTGAATTTCATAAACAGGCTTGAGAATCAGAGCACCATAAAAGCCTTTAGGGAATGGATTTGTTAAGTCCCACTTATTTGAAAAACCGGTAAGCTTCACAGTTCGTGTTCTGTTCTTCGGGATCTTCCATTCAACAATCTCCTTTAGGGTATAAATATGTTCATCTTCACACTCATAGAATTCTCCTTCTTGTGACAAAGGCAAAGTAAACGAGTGATTCTGATGATTCCTTACCACTCCACAGTTCACCATTATCTCTCCACTGATCTCTTCAACTGAGTTGAGCATGATTTGCTCACCCTGTTTTACAGTGAGATTCTCTAGTTTTAGATCCTTCTGATGATAGAAGCAAGGATGCCCTAGTCTACTTGATCCAATATGAATGGTCCTTGTTATTTCTTCCATAGTGAGGTATGGAGTTTTATCGGCCACAATCTTAAAAAGACCTAAGAACAGAAGAATTATATAAATTAAAGAGAATTCTTACAATGAAAGTTCTCTTAAGAAAATCACAGTGAGAGAGTTATAAAACAAGTACAATGTAGCTTTTAAAAAGTAATGCATTTGTTTTAATCCTGAATTCTTCTAGGTCAAATTGTAATGTATAATTTGTAGATTACTGGATCATCGGATCCAGGCAACACCAATGGAAACAAGGGGAAAATACCTGGAAAGAGAAAAGCCCCTGTTCTTGGAAGTGGGAAATATGAATGAGATACTGACTGGCTGTATCCCAACTACCTGTGTAATCTTGAGCAAGGCATTTACTCTCTCAAAATCACATTTTCTATTTTCAATTTTTAAATTGAGAGGATTGGATTAGATCGGTGTTTCCATAACTATATTTTCTGGATGTACCAAAATTAAAAGATATTCCAGAAGAAAACTGTTTCATGGTCAAATTAACAATCACAAAGTTACATACCTGGAAGGAGACAGTGGTGATGGTTATACAACATTGTGAATGTACTTAATGACACTGAATTGTACATTTTTGAATGTAAATCTTACCTTATGTGCATTTTACCACAGTAAGAAATACCTACATATTTCCAATTAAATACTTCTCAGAAACTTTAGATGCACTGCAACTCACAAGAAGAGAATATAACATGCAGAATTTTGAAATTTTGATTATAAACTCTTGGGGAAACATCTATTAATAAATTACAATATACCATCCATGATATATTGGTGTTCCATGTAACTCTCCTTGGAAAATGCCAGGTTAGGTAGTTCCAGATTGAATACTCTTGGTGATACATCATTCTTCTCATTGCTTCTCTAAGTTTGCCAGAGTTTCACTATTAGAAATTTTTTCCTCTAATACTACTGGGATAATCACTAATATAATGAATTTTTGCTGTTTAAGATATAGCTTTTTAGGTGTGCATGTTTAATTCTCCTCTTTAAATTACTTTTATTTTATTGGTACATCTGCTTTGTAGCATATTCAGAAATGAATTTATTGAAGAGGTTTTAATAAATTCCAGAGAAAATAAGAACAAAGAAAAAATTAGGTAATTGCTTTCTTAACACAAAAGTAAATGAATGATATTATATACTATCATGAACTAAGTAGATTATCTTGCTAGATACTCATTAGACAATGAGAAAATCTTACTAGAATTCAATATAACTTGAAAAATCATTTATTAGTTTAATCAACAAATATATTCCAATTAAATTCATCTATATATCAAATCATTATTAACCAGATTATAATATCTCATGTCTATTCTGGGTTACTATACGAAGATTTATGATCAGTTATTTTTGTAGATCTTTGCTCAAACAAAAAAAAAGGATTTGATCTATTTTCAGACATAAACATCCTGAAAAAGTGTGTGTGATGCAATCCTGGCAAAAAGTAAGGTACCATGTGCAATCTGTCCTGAAAAGTTTCAGAAATTGACTAGTGTTCACTCACTGTATGGTGTGTTTGAAGACAGTAAGGCAAAGAAACATTTACTTTAAAAGAACTTATTTTATTAGATCTTGTTTCAGTGAAAATCCAATAAAAGAATATTCTTGAACTCTGCACAGTACATGAATTTGTGCATATGTGTGCATGCGCGTGTGCATACATATGCTTAATCTCATTTGTCTGTATGTGAAGATTTGTTTTTAAGAGTCCACAATCATTATCAGGGTTTAGAAAATTCAGCAATTTTTGTGAATGTTAAAAAAAATAGCTACCTAGAATCTCATAAATAGTAGAGACACACAGTTTTATTTCTATTCTAGATATATTGATGACATAAGTCACAGAAGAATTAATTCAGCATCTTCTTTCTTGAGGAATTGGGTTCACCTAAGGCAATAACAGACCTAAAATGTTATGAAGTAGAAAAAGCCTGAAACCCTAAGGGCCACCATTATTTCAAGTTAATCACATACTTCAAAACTGTCTTGTTGAATGTCTCTACTGCAAGAAAAATCTATGAATCTGTGTGTTTTCCCTTAGAAGATGATTAAGTACACAGTTTAGCATACTAAGTGGTAGACACAGGAAATTATCATTGATTAAGTTATTTCTTCATCTACTATTGCAGCCAATCCAGAGTCCCTCCTTATAAACAGCCAATTGATACTATACAAACCAGGGTAAGTTTATATATATGATGTCATACTGAAAGTTCAATTTCACAATAAAGTACCATAAGCCTGATCAGCTTTAAACTTCATCAATTTTTCCTCCATCTTTTCACAAAGAGTACAATAGTTTTATACTGGAGAAAATATAATTTGATACTCTTCCAAAAAAAAAAAAACCCACATTTCAGGAGCTGAGTGATCATAAGAGTGATTATAAAATAAGGCAATATGTAACCTTCATAAAGTAAGCTAAGAAGCAGAAAGAAAATATATTTCAATTTCCAAATTTTATTGTCACCTATTAAAATGGATATTATTACTTTTAAATTAGGAGAAATTATTCATAAAGAGCATGCACTTGAGAAATAAAAATTATAAGGAAATGCAATTATTGATCTATTGAAAATTAACTGATGAGTAAATTTAGTCTTTAAGATCTTATCTCTGAATCTTAAGTTTTTGGAGAGCTTATAATTTTAACCAATTGTTAATGATCTGTAATTATTATTAGTAGTAAAAACAAATTTGTTTGGAAATTTACAAGTTTGAAAGATTTTTTTCATGCATCATTTATCCTGACAATAATCTTTTAAGGACAATAAAACAAATGTTATTACTGAAGGACATAAAAATGGTCATGATTTTCATTGTCATGGCTCTAGAATCCCAAATCAGACCTTTGACATCCAAGTCTTATGCTCCTGCCACCATACTAGGCTGCCTCCCCATCCTGCATATAACTTACAAGGACATTGCTCAGGAAAACATGTTTATTCCAATTCACAAAATATATATATGGGTCTCATTAGCCAGTTCTCCCTTTGCATGAATCAGCCTTTCCAGACCTCCAGTGTAAGAAGAACAAGAGTAGGTTCCTGGTTCACTGTGCATAATTTATGCTCATCAGATTTTTTTCTACTTTTTTTTTATCTCATCAATTCCCACCCAAATAGGGAGTAATTTTAAAAATTAAAATTTCTAACTGTATATCACAATATTCTTTTTAAGTTACTTTTATTTTTTTTATTTTTTCTTTAAGTAGGTTCCATGCTCAATGGGGGGCTTGAACTCATGACCCAGAGATCAAGAGTTGCATGCTCCACCAACTGAGCCAGCCAGGCACCCTCACAATATTCTTTAATATATATAACATAAGATCATCATGAGGATTTCACAATCTTTTTCATAGGCTGAACTCTAGTTTGCTTTCCTAGTTCCAACCAAATATATTCCCTTCATCTCTGAGATAAGGAATCTTAGAGTGAACTTTGCCTACTAATTCTCTGAAAGTAATGGCCCAATACAGTGTAAATAATCAGATAGTCTGTTCTCTAAAAGCTTGGAAGTATCCTAGTTGTTAAATGCAACATCCCAATTCCAAATCCTATGGTTCCCTCTTCCCTGGAATATCTAAGAGATTAAAAATTAACATTCAGTAACAGTCATAATTTTTTTTTCCCATTCACTCAAAAACTATCTATTTTGTTAAAGTTAAGACGGATGATCTGTTGAGAGGTAAGTGGTAAGTGTCAAGCATGAAATATGTACACATTTTCTACAGTGGACGGTAGGATAAAAGCCAGAGGCAACACTCCTGCCTGAAATTTCACTATACAGAGCATAACAGCTGAGCTATGATAGAGGGGGAGGAATCAGTCACCACCTAAGAATGCCAAGAGCAAGACAGTAGCACCAGATTGTTGTTGTAGGCAATAATATAGCTGTGTTATATACAAAGTTGTATACATTGACTCACTGGAATCTTTGGGTCCCAACTAATCAGACATTTAAGAGGCAAAAAGGGGAACACACAAAACAGTGGTGATTATATGTGCTTTACTCAAAGGATAAAGAGCAATATATATATATAGCTACGTATGAGAAAGTCCTCAAAAGACCTCAAAAGACTGCATACAGACACATAAATTCTATTATTCACATTTTACAGATATATCATCAAAATGATCACAGTACTGTATTTGAGGGGAAAGAAAGGTAACGAAAGAGGTGAAAGACCTATACCCTGAAAAGTATAAAAACACTGATGAAAGAAATTCAAGATGATTCATAGAAATGGAAAGACATTCCATGCTCATGGGTTGGAAGAACAAATATTGTTAAAATGTCTATACTACCCAAAGCAATCTACACATTTAATACAATCCCTATCAAAATACCAACAGCATTTTTCACAGAACTGGAACAAACATTCCTAAAATTTGTATGGAACAGTAAAAGACCTTGAATAGCCAAAGCAATCTTGAAAAAGAAAAACAAAACTGGAGGTATTACAATTTGAGACTTCAAGTTATATTACAAAGCAGTAATAATTAAAACAATATGGTACTGGCACAAAAACAGACACATAGATCAATGGAACACAATAGAAAACCCAGAAATAAACCCACAGTTATATGGTCAATTAATCTTCAACAAAACAGGAATGAATATACAATGGGAAAAAGACAGTCTCTGCAACAGACAGCAACATGCAGAAGAATTAAACTAGACCACTTTCTTTTACCATACACACACACAAAAAACTCAAAATGGATTAAACACTTAAAAGTGAGACTTAACACCATAAAAGCCCTTGACAAGTGCACAGATGGAAAGTCTGACATCGGCTGTACCAATGTTTTTCTAGCTATGTCTCCTGAAGCAAGGGAAAAAAAAGCAAAAATAAACTATTGGGACTACATCAAAATAAAAGGTTTCTGCACAGCAGAGGAAATAATCAACATAACTAAAAGGCAACCTACTGAACGGCAGAAAATATTTGCAAATGACATATCTGATAAAGGGTTAGTATCTAAAATATATATTAAAAAACTTACACAACTCAACA